TTAGGATTCGTTAATATGGGCTGGATAGTAGCTTGGTTAAAATATAAAGGAACACATCCTGCAGACAATGAAGAACTAATAACAGCTAAAACAACAGAGCCAATGGCTGACAAAACTTAAAAAAGTAATGCAGATGGTAATATATCCAAGGGGTATAATGGCCTTATATTCATAACGAAAGCCATCATATCCTGTAAGCTGATAAGAGTCAAGAACAGTCAGAGTTGGAGCTAGAGCTCAATGGGCAAGTGGATACTGGAGTTAATAGGCGTTACCTTATCAACAAAGAAAGAAGGAAACTTGTTGCAATCGTTCACAGAGAAATGGGGTAAAGCTGATGGGGCTGAGAAACAATGTTTTTGATGGTTCCACTAAAGATGAAATTAAGTTTAGCGAAAAAAGCAGTCCAGGCTTCCTTTGCTGAAGAAATTCGTAGATCTTTATTACTTCTAGCCCAGTGGCTTTCCACTGTCACTCTGTCCTGAGACACTTCAGTCTCAAACAGTGAGCGGCATCTGTCATCCCCGGAGAAGTGCTGCAGATGGCCCTGGTCTTATAGCGTGCCACTTCATCCAGTGAAGTGTTTGTGCCACTTCATCCAGTAGAGTGGAGCAATGTTCAATAAAAGGCTGTATTGAAAATTCAGCATCACTGAGATTTGCATTAACTTCACAAAAATAAGCTGAGAACTGCTCAGCCGTACTTGGAGTAATGACACGAGATCACAACGTTCTTTTGATACACAATAGGTCTGCGTTTACAGAACACGCAAAGAAAATACATTTATCATCATGAAGTAAATGGGTATGATCAATATCTAGTCCTAAAGACGTGGTCCAAAGTACGACCACCCATGTATGTGGCATCTGAGACATGCTGCTTAAGTCAAAATAATTCAATAATATAAGAAATTCAGGTCCCACTTCGCAATAAGGCTCCATTTTGCCACTTGTAGATGGTAGTAACTCATTCATAAAATGAAAATAGTGTTATAATTTGTTTAAAATTGTCTATTAATAATTTACAAAGTGTCACAACCTAATTAATAACCAGATTATAAACCATTCATAAACCCTTTATATGGGGAGCCTTATTGTAAAGTGGCACCAAATTGGTCATAATTTGTTGTATCATCGATATTTAAGTTAAAATCCTAAACTTTTATCACTTTGTCCAGCTTAACAGAAGTCAGAGTCTGTGAACTCAGATAAAAACTGTCCTGCTGGACCAGGAGGTCAATAAATTACAACTCATCAGAAAGCAGACTGCTGCAGGGGCGTGACAAAGGGTGGGCTTGCTGTTAGGGTGGCATTGCGGCTCACTGCAGCTCCACCCCTACAGCACTGCGAATTCACATCTTATCTTCCAACCTCTCTGTGCATAGTCTGCTTGTTCTGTGCAGGGTTTCCCCCTGCAGTGCAAAGGCTTGCTGTATTGTTAAAATGGCACCTCTAAGTGATAAATGTGGTATGTGTTTGTTCTGTGATTGTCTGGCGTCCCATCCAGGGTGCTCCCCTGCCCTGTGTCTGGGATAAATGTCACATCAAACCAAATGTTTTGTTGGCTCACCACAATTATTTCAGACCCACACATCATGGAATGCCTGGCCTTGCAGAACACACACACACACTCGCAGTCACACACCATACTGGGTGTATGTTTGTATCTGTTATTATCAGAGAGAATGTGGTCTTCATTTTGCCTGCTGAGATTCCTCTGATTGGATTAAATTAATTTCTTACAAAGATATGGGCCACAGGAATAAGACAAGCGTGAACTCCAGCTTCTGGGCTAATGCCCGTGCTGGAGAAACTCTGTGTTGTTAGACGCTTGGTAAAGATGCAGCCTGTAGTTTTCTGATCCTTGAATCTCCTTCATGCTGAAGCCTCTTATTGGATGGTGTTTGCATAGATGAGATCATTATCTAGGGGGCTTGTGGTGAAGTTTTCATAGATACAAT